TCTCCCCCCTCTTCTGCCCCATCTCTCTCTCTCCCCCCCCCTTTTGTGAAGCCCCACAGCTTTGTTGTCGTCCCCCCCCAGCATACTCCGCACACATCAGCCATTTCCAATCACTCAGTTCTTCACTGGTCACAACCCACTCCCGGTGGGGCCAAAGGGGTTCGGAGTCACCCGCCGGCCCCCGCAATGGGACACGGCCCCGCTGACTCCCACCCAGGGAGGGGAGGGGGGTCACAACCAGTGAGGGGGGGTCACGGCCGGTACGGCGACGCCGGGTCCTCAGCCCATCTCCTCGTAGAGCAGCTCCTCGGTGCTCTGCGGCAGGGAGAAGCCGTCGGCATAAAGGTTGTGTCTGTTACGGCACGAGGCCTCGGCCAGCGCTGGAAGAGGGAACGGGAGTCATCCTCAGCGCTAAACTTCACCTTCAAAATGTCACTTTCAAGTACTTTCACCTCCAAAATGCTACTTTCAGGTACTTCACCTTCAAAATTACAAGTATTTTCACCTTCAAACTGTCACTTTCAGGTTATTTCACCTTCAAAATGCTACTTTCAAATATTTCACCTTCAAAATGTCAAGTATTTTCACCTTCAAAATGCTACTTTTAGGTATTTTCCCTTCAAAATCCTACTCGCAAGTTTTCAAGTAAAATTCTCAATATCCGACTTTCAGGTGAACCACACGGACCCATCTCAGCCTGTTTTCACCCCAGTTTCACGCTTGGCCGATGGAAAACCGCCGACAGTTTTACAACCGGGTGAAGTCCCCTTCTCGCCCGTCCCTCCCCTCCTCTTTCCCGAGGGTTAAAGCGGCGCCCGCGGCCATTCCCCACTCACTCACTGCCCATAACAGCTCCCCTGTTCGACGCTGTATGAGGCGGCAATGAACACGCAGCCCTCCCATGACATCACGCCTGTAAAATGAGATGATTTTCCACCCCCCCACACCTCGGCTTTGGCCAGCGGGAGGTTTAGAGGTTCCAGCCAGCGAGGGGGGGAGGGAAAGAAAACTGGCAGGAAGAAAATAATTCAGCCTTGGGATTCTGGAACGGACCAAGGGCAACAGCTGGAAAGAAACTTGAATGTACAAACATGGAAATCACCGTCTAACGGCTTAAAAAAAAAAACAAAAAAAAACCAAAACCAAAAACCAACCCCCCCCCTCCGAATCTCAGCCGGGTACAGAAAAGCAGTAGCGACGATTTGGCAACTGGAGATATTTTGATGGGGGAAATATTTTCGCTGGGCAATGCAGCCCCCCCTCACCTCTGCCGACAGCCCGCAGCAGCACGGCCAGGACTGTTTCTTCGTAAATATTTTCCAGGTTAATGATGCCACTGAAGTCGGCGAACACGAAGCTCTCGTACTGCGGCAGCTCCTATGCGGTGGGGGAGGGAAGAGCGGGGCAGCATCACCGTTTGTGTTCCCAGCGAGCCGGGAAACCAGCAGCCAGGATGGGAAGAATTGACGGGAATTGGGTAAGCCTCCCCCCAAAAAAATCGGGCACAGCAAGGCCAGGGTCTACAGCAGTGCCCTCGGATCCCAGAGGAGCCCCTCTTCCCCATGGCAGAGCGCCCTTCACCTCCAAAAACACCCCTGGGACTCACTACGGAGGGAATTGCTCCAGCCAGCGTTCCAGCACAGCGAATGGGAAGATGTAAAAAAAAAAAAAAAAAGGAATAAAATAAAAATAAAGGAGAATGTTCTGTTCTGGGAAACATCTAAAGGATGGTCACACCCACGGCGGCACGGAACAGAACATGACTTGTGTCCATTTGGAGGAGATTTTTGGGATGCCGTCTAGGAGAGAGCTGCGGTTTGGCAGCCTGCACCGTGGCGGCTTGAATTAAAAGCTCTTTTCTGCAGAGAGACGGTTCCTCAGCGCCAGGACACTGAGGGAAGGAGTTGCTTTTTCTTGCTGAACTAAAACCCACTTGTTTGAGCCCATTCCCTGCCCCCCCCAGCCTGCTGCAGGCACGACCGTACCAGCTTACACCCGGACTCCAAATGCTTCAGCAGAAAAGGAAGAAAAATCCGGACCAGCCACTCCTGAGCGAACCGCTTCCGGATGGAGCTGCTGTCATAGTCAAATTTCTGCAATTCAATTCAAAAAGAGGATCGGTCCCTTCGCAACAACCTCACATCTGCGGCGTGAGAGCAACGCAGAAATGCAGGGAAACACAGTGAAGCGGGGTGGGTGTTCAACAGAAAGAAAAAAAAACCAAACTCCACCTAAATAAACCCATCAAGAGCGACCCCCGCCTCACCTTCAGCACCCGCTCTTTGACTTTCCCCAGCGTTTGGGTGAGCCGGCGCCGGCCGGCCACCTGGCCGAGGTGCTGCTGCGAGAGCTGCAGGAAGGTGTGGGTGGCATTCTCCATCAGCTGCAAGATTAAAAAAAAAAACACCTCGCTGAGCCGATACCAGGCGTGCGGGACCCAGGATTTTGCTCCACATCTCGCACCCCCCAACCCCATTGTGAGTCCCTTCCTCCTTGGTTAGCCAACTCGCTGGGGTTTGTTTTTCTTTTTTAAACTAAGAAAATATTTGCAGATTTTTGCTTCGTGCCTTTGGAGCAGCCCAAGGAGAAACGGAGCACGAGGCGGGGAAGCGAGCGGCTGAGGCCGGAGCCAGAGCCCCCAGAGTCGGACACCCCCCGCCTCTCCGAGCGTCAGCACCTACTTGCTGCATGAGGTTCTGCGCGCCGAGCACCAGGCTCGTCACGCCGCGGAAGCCGAACCGCTCCTCCAGCCCTCGCAGGCTTTCTCGATACAGGTCGGCCTCCTCGTAGCACAGGTGCATGACGTGGGGCTGCCAGGACGTTCTCCCCAGCGTCAGAAGCTACGTCAGAGCAGCAACGCGTCACTCAGGCGGCGTGCGACATCCCTGCCTTTGCTCCCCGGGGTTGTTGGGATCCCTGGCTCCATATTCCCGCTCTCCGCCCCCCCGTTCCCTCTCCGGAGCATGGACCACCAGCACGTGCTCAGGGAAAGAGCGTGAGCCCAAAGCGTCCTCCGACATCTCCCCAGCGGCCGAGACCTGACGCTTAATAAAGCTCAACCATGTGAGAACCCTCCTGCCAGGATTCGACACCGATTCAAACGAGCTGCTGCACTGCGAAGCCACCAATGCCTCAAGAATCGGTCCCGCACCCACAACGGCCGCGGTGGGGCTGGAAGAGAGCAGCCGCCTTTGGCGTCCCGTTCCCGCGTTACCTCTTTCTGCAGGACCGCGACGGGAGAGCTCCGGACGAGTCCGATCATCTCATCAACCCTCTGGGCAAAGAGCAAGCGAACCACCTCGACTCCCGAGCTGACGGGACGCATGAGTTCCTCCATCACGCACTCCAGGTGAGGTTCCACGCTCTGGCTGCAGCACGACTCCGCCGGGCTCTGCACTGTGGCTGCCAAGAGCGAAAGCTGTGGGTCGCCCGACGGACCGTACCGTGCTCCATGCCGCGCCGTGTTCCATGCCGTGCTGCGCTCCACGAGGCACAGTCACACCTGTGGGGCTCAGGTTTGGGTAGAAAATGCCACCTGAGATCTCCCACCCACAGTCCCTCTTTATTACACCCAAATTCGCCGTAGCTGTTGGTCGTCGGTTCCCAAACCGACACTATCCAAGCCAGCACTTCACAAACTAAGGCCTGCAACTAGAGGCAGATGAATTTCACGGATTTTTCCAGGTCTTTTTTTTTTTTTGAACCTGTGTTTTTGCCTTTTATCCCAACATTTCCACCTCTTTGCCCAACCTTGGAGTTTGCTGGCTATCTCATCCTTCAGAGTCAGCATCTGATCCAGGTCGGGGCGAATTTTCTTCTCCAGCTCCACCTGTAGTTTTTCTTTCTCCTTCTGAAAACCTTCAAATTCGCTGGCAATTTCGCTGAGGATCAGGGCATAAACCTCCTGGAGAAACTGGGCAGCCGATGAGGAGCGCGTGAACCAGAGAAAGAAGGAACAAAGGAGAGGCAAGAGGCACAACTTTTGGGAATGTTACCATTACTGGGCTTACCACTGAATAAAAACCCACCTCCCATCCGTGTCACGCTGCTAAAATTCCTTGACTCATCCCGCTTCGTTTCACCCAACCCAAATATCAAGTAATTACTTCGTCCCTCTCCATTACAACCATCCCCTCGCTGCCGATACGTGGAACCAGCCACACTGCTCACATGCCGCAATGCTCCACGTTTTTCACTCTAGTGTTCCATGGGAAGCAGCCCCGGAACGAGCCTTTTTTGTCCCAATTGTTCTTTATTTGAGAAGTTTAGACCCGATGCTCCACTCTCCCTCCGAGCACGCCGGTCATCACCGCGTGTGCCAGCGTCAGCACAGCCCTGACTTTTGGGTGCAAGCGACGCCCCGGGCATTCACCTGGAGCCACAGCTGCCGCCGTCTCCTTTCTGACCCTCTGATGCTCGGGAGCACCTGAGAGCGCAGCACCGGCAGCAAATCCTCCATCAGCACGTTTCCGAGGATCTAAAACCCAAAACGAGCGGCTGAAACCACCTCAGAGCAATGACCTTGCTGGAAAAGCTCCGGTCTCGGAATTCTTTACCGACCTCAGGTTCCGGCCCCAGGAGAAGATCCCCTGCCCCGTAGCGGCCTCTCTCTTGCCTGTAAAACCGCACAGCCTCGAGGAACGCCTCCGCTTCCAGAGAATCTCTCCTCTGTAGTTCTGAGGACAAAGGACAGGTTAGTCCCAGCGACATTTAATCGAGGACGCTCAGAGCAATTCCCACCAAACCGCGGGAGCGCAGCAGCTAAAAACTATTCCGAGTGAGAATAAAGGCCGCAAGCGGCGCTTGCCCTCCGGGCACAAACGTGGTGAGATTCCACTCGTGCTGCCCGCTCCATGAAAAGATCCCCAGGGTGGAGAGCTCACGCTCTCGGACCTCACCGCTTCGTTAGGCAGCACCCACCCGCTTCGGCAGCCTCACCCGTGCTGCGGTAACGAATGCCGTCCCGAAGAGCGGCCTTCCAGATCCGTCGCGATTCCGCCGAGTCTGCGCAGAAGCAGAAATGCCTCCGGAAGGGATGGTAGAGGAAAAACAGAAACTCTCCTGGCGGGTCGGCAAAGGGGCTGCCACCTTGGGGAGGAAGGAGAGAGGAAGGAGCGCAATGTATGCTGGTGCTGCAACAATTTTGAATTAAATCTCTATAAACTCTTGCAAGCTTCCCTAGCAGTAAGGCTGCCGTTCGTGTTTTCATTCAGGAATACCAGTTTACGGGTAAAATAAAACGCCATCCTTCAAGAACGATCCAAGGCCCCACCGCGTCTCAGCCGCTCGTTAGAAAACAAGGGGGGTCATGCCCCACCAGACGTCGGCCGACAAGCTGGGGAAATGCCAAAGGGACGGGATCAGCTGACGTGGCCTTTGCCGAGGTGGGCGGCTTTTCCTTTTTTTAGCATTAATAGACGCAACTAACAGGAGTTTTGGCGCAGCGTGGTAAACAGCAAGAACCATTCACAGGGGAGGAGTATGAATGCTTTGTTCCAAGAGCAGATTGTAAAGGCTCGCCTCCTTTTTAACCAGTATCTGCAGCAGACTGGAAAGATCCCAATACCATTACATTTTTTATTTTAAATGGTGCCGTCTGTACTTTAAAACAACAACGGTAATTTACAAGTGTTCGCAACCAGATATAAACTCTTTTATAGTAGGCAGCTCTCTAATAAAAGCCAGAGGGCTGCATGCTGAAGAGCTGAACAGAGAAAACTGTTTGAAATGAATTTCAGTCACTGGCAAAGTTTCTCTGCAGCTGCTTCTGGTTTCGTGCCACTCGGGTTTCAGATTTTCACTTTCCAGCTGGCCGAGTCAAGCCGTGCAGGCTGCCGGCAGCCCCGAGCACAGCTGTCTGCCGGGGGAGAATGCCAGAGGATGCGGAGAAACAAGGAAAACAACAGATTCAGCTGCAGGACATCTCAAAAGTGCCAAGTCCGGGCAACACCGAAAGTTTAGCCCCGAGCATTATGGCCCTGCCTACACATAAGGAAGTTTCTCGTGTGCCTTTTGGCGCAGGGTCTCTTGGCCGGACACAGAACGTGCCTCGTGCGTTCACCTCATCCTCCTCCGTCACGCTCCGAGGTGCCGAACCGGACTCCGCTCCTACCCCAGCCACGACCTATTTCTTAACCGTCGACGCGTCACAGAATTACCTGTGAGTCCTTGGCACAGATCGCCGAGCAATTCGGCATATTCGCTCGGCAAAGACAGCAGCAGGTAGCCGGAGAGAGCGGTCGAGCCTCTGGGCTCGCAGCCTTTCCTCAGGGCCTAGAAAAGAAATCAAAGGGCGAGTCCTCAGCGAGGGTTTGCGGGCGGTGATTAATTGTTCACACTGACCATGGAGCGGCTGGCAACGGTGAGCAGGTTCGTTCCTCGTGGCTTCACTTACGCCAGCTTCAAAACTCAGTACCTCTTTCGCGTGAAAGAGGTACCGACAATTAAAACAACAGAAGGATCCAACGCAACATGGTGATCCACGGCGAATTTTAAAGGAAACGGAATATATTTGTGGAAGGATTCTCTGTGCAAAGAGAATGGTTGTTCAGCCGTGTGGATGGGAAGTGGCAGGTTTTTACATGAGCAGCTGGGCAGGGGTATCTGCGTGGCCCCGTGCCCACCTTCGCTTCTGCCTGCAAGGGATGAGGTTTTCACGAGGTTTGACCACAAAAAATCCTCCATTTTACAACCTCTGCAGCAGTAGCTGCGGGAGCATGTTTACCTCTTCGCTTTCGAACCACTGCAGGGTAAAATCTCCGAGCAGAATGAAGTAATTCTCCTGCCAGCTGCGAGAATCGCCGTCATACTGGGAGAGCAATCCCTCATGCAGAGCGGTGTCGGGCGGCCCCCGGAGCTGAGGACACACGAGAAAAGAGCTGGAAAAGGTGCAAAGCGTCAGCACTGCGGGGAGACAGACCCATCGCCCGGCGCATACAAGCTGGCCCCAGCCAGACCTTTTGCTACCAGGGTTGCAAAAATAATAGCGAGAGGCAGCGGGACATGGACATCTAGTGGTGGTGAAAAGCTAAAAAACCAGGTTGTCACTCTCTGTGACAAAACCGTGGTGCTGCTGTAAGGGCTTCGACGGTCTTTGGCACCTATCTGTGAGCTAGACCCTCGGCTATCGATCCCACCTTCTCATCTCTCTTAAAACACACTCCTGAATATTTACTTCTAAGCCACAAAAGATAAAAGTTTTCCCTAGCAACAGGTTGCTGTTCTGCGTAACGTTCAACTACACGATGAAACTGCAACGAGGCGGGGAACAGCAGCTGCATCTTCCCAGGCACCTCCAAGACAAGATGGACCTCAGCAGGTTCGTGTCCCTCGCGGAGCCTTTTACCTCTCTTGCCAGGAGCTGCGGGGCTGGTTTCCCTTGGGGGTCCAGCTCCCCCGAGACCCGTCTCAGAAGGGCAGTCGCCAGCTGCCTCCGGTAATAGGGCACGAAGTTCTTCATCGTGGCATCTGCGCGACCTGGGGGCACAGCAAGGACAGAGCCCGTTTTGGGGGGCACCCTCCTGCCAGAGGAGGCTGCTCGCTCCTTTTAATTAACATTTTTTTTACTATCCTCTAAGGACAGCAGCAGAAGGCGAGCGCTAAGGCATGAAGCAACCTCTCCGTATTTCAGGAAATAAAGAGTTACGGCTCTTTTCTTTCTTGCACTTGCCGGACCCCACTCCCAAACCATGGGCACTTTGTCACCCCGGGAATGCGGCCAGCGTAGCCCGGGAAGGCGCCTGGTCAAAAAAGGATCTGAAATGTCAGAGGGTCCGACACTAATCAAAATTTAAAAAGGCTTCTTATGTGCCACTGCTTCTTCAAACGCTTCTTCCGCCAGCTGGGAAGATGGAAACAAGAGAGCAAATTCATCGATAGCAGAGTTACTGAAATGTCATGCCCTGTAGGCTTGAAAGAATCGGACAACAAAACCGCAGTCTGAAGCTCCAGAGGCATCTTACGGCCCAGAGAAACGCGTCGCTCAAGACACCGGAGGAGGCAGGGAGTGCAGCGAGCCAACGCTCTAAGGATGAGGCATTTCCCAACCCTCCCTCCAAGAGCCATCCGAAGAGGAAGGTACCAGAGACAAGGGCTCGGAGACTCCTCTTGCCCGCTCCGTTGGTTTTTGTCCAACTAACGCCTTAAAACCAACAGCTAAATCGGATTTCACATCTCACCAAGCCCAAACGTGAGCTCCGCGAGCACTGACCCAGTGCTGGCAGCCTTGTGGTGCGGAAGGAGGGCTGACACCACCAAGGGAGCCCTGCCACGACTTGCTGCGAACAGAATTTGTATTTCCCCCCCCAAAAAAAAAACAACGGAGACAGCCAAAGTCCTTTCTCACCTCTCAGATACCTGCGCTGTCTCCCGTTCAGAGGGCTCGAACACCTTCCTCCCATCTTCGGCCTCAGCACGCTCGCTGCCAGCCGGGCTCCGAGGCCAGGCTCGGTGGTGGTGAGGGGACGCGCCACATGCCGGCTTCTCCGCCCGGCAGCGCTTTTCCGTCTCTCTCCCTTCCAGATCATCAGTTCATAAATATTCAAATAAAGTCTCGTATCGAACCCCCTCCCCCTCACAAAATAACCCTTAAAGGGGCAGCGGCACCTCTGCGGCTTCCCACCCCTTTCTACCAGTTTCCCCCCAAGTTTTGCGTGCTAAAACAGTACTGATTTGGTTTCCAATTTATTTTTGAGACCGGGCGAATTTGTGCTCAGCCACATCCCAGCTCAGGGGGTCCTGCTTTTGCAGCGGGACGGCGCTAGCCGTCTCTTTGCTCACCCGCACGTGCCGTTTCCATCCTAGAAACAATTGCCCGTTACCGTTAATTAACACAGAACTATTCAAGACGAGACTGCGCGCGCTGGAATTTAAATTTGGGATGCTAAAGTGGTTCAGGCTGTAAATTTACACGATGCTAAGAAAGGCGCAACCGGGTTTACCCAAATTTGCTCTCGGTACTCCACGCTCTGCCCACCTCGTCCCCATCTCGGCTACCGCCAGCACAAGATACCCCAAAACCAAGGGAAGGGGGTAAGGAATTCGGGAACGACGCGAAGCGACCGAGTGGGATACAGCGAGGGGATTTTTCTGAGTTATTTCCAAATTTGAGAGCGTATCACGGAAACAGCCCTGCTTGCTGCTGTGCTCCGCACCTGCTCTCGCTTCCCTAATCAAGCTTGAACAAGATCTGTCGTTTTGACCGTTACGCAACCGGTGGTTTTTGATACCCTTCGCGCCCCACGGGACGTGTAGAAACAGGAAACTCTGAGCAGAAATATCCGGCACTCGCATCAGCCCCCAGGGTGGTCAAAAAGCCCAAACGCTTTTAATAGAAGGAAATCAGTGGGGGATAGTTTAGAAAAAGCCATAAAGCTGAGGGGAAAAAGGTTTCGGAATCACCGGAGGGATGACACGGCGCAGCTGCGCAAGAGAAACAGGTTTCTACAGACAGAGCACCACGGACCTGATGTGTGGAAACTTACCACCGCACGGTTTTGGACTCACGTTTGCCAAAACCACCTCATTAAAACTTGCATTCTTTGTCAGGTCCCAGAACAGGGAATCACGTTATTTTCAATAATTTGCGTTAGATTTCAGTTTCAAAGTCTCGTCCATGCACATCTGCTCTGCTGGTTCACTTTGCGTTTTTAAGATGTGGAGCTCGGCTATTGGGCAGACACAAATGTGATTTTAGTCACGTTCATGTTTAACTTGCAAACCCTGACGCTTTCTGCCTGGATCTCCTTAAAAGCGGTTTCGGAGATGGCAAGACCAGCCGCTGACCAGCCCTGCTTCGCAGCTCCCACCAGAATCTATACGTAACCCCTGGGAAGGCGACGCTAAAGATAACTACGGACGGCAGCAACAAACCCTGGGTACGTCGCTGACGAAGGCTGAATCGCTCGTAGTCCGGTAGCCGCCGACTCCGTGGCTCAAAGATGCCGTCGAGAGGGACGGCTGCACCCGGTACTGCCGGCTCAGGGCTTTTACGCTCCAAGTCCTGTCCAACTGCTTTGTGATGTACCTGTAAATATCCACGTCCAGCCCAGGAACCTCAATTCTTGGGGTTTTTTTCCTAAATCTGGCACAGAAGCGCTGCGCTTCCTAGAGCATAAAAGAAACAGGAACGCTGTTCCTTTCTCGCTGCACCAACAGACACCGTGCGATCTCGAAGCGCTCTTTGCTACTGAAAGCTAAAACCTTACCGCTAGGCGCACAGGGATGTGAAAAAACAAGGTAGGAAGGAGCCGCCGACACCAAGTTTCAGGCAAAAACTGATGCGCAGTTAAAGTCAGGATTAACAAAGACGAATCTCACAAACCAACGAGGGAAACCGAGCATTACCCTACAGCCAGAGCTGCTCTGAACAAGCATCCGTCCATCTGTCCTCGCGTCGCCGACACCGCGACACCCCAAACCCTGCACCTGGCTCCCCGAGTCCCTCATTTAGGGAAGAGCGCGGCCAGGTGGAAAAAGAACCAGGAGCAGAAGAGCTGAAATCCGTCTGTTTAATGTCGCGCATGCCTTTCACGTCACAGTGACCGAAACGAACCGCGCGACGCCATCACCACGTGTGGTTCCAACACAGCCCCCACCGAACCGAAGGGATTATTACATAAAAATTTGTGCTCGGCAAAGCACCGTTTGGTCCACAAAGTGTGTGTGGGGGGAAAATAATAAAAATAAAAACCGTGGTTTGTGCCACAACCGAGCGCTACGATCGAACGCGGCGTTCTTCACCTGGAACGTCACGCCGCCAGTGCCGCGGTTACCGTCACCCGAGGCCGGCCGGCAGTCGGCTCTACAAGACGGAATGTTTCTCGACGGGGATGGTCAGCTCCTTGGCTGCCGACTCGTCCAGGAACCAGCGCAGCTGCCCGGAGCGAGGCTGGACGCAAGCGGCGGGAAGGGGGTTTTCCTCGTCGCCTTCCAAAATGCGCTGTTGGGAGAGAGGGAACGGCGTCGTGGCCGAGCAGTTGGCGAAAGGGAACCGCAAACCGTGCCCAAAACGCTTCAGCGGTTGACTGAACCCTCACGATAGTTCGTTCCCTGCCCCAAACGCCTTGGATTTTTGTTAAGAAGACAAACAGTTTGGGTCCAAACCTTTAAAACGGCAGCTTTGCTTTCCCCCGTAGCCACGAACACAACCATCCGCGCGGCGTTCAGCACCGGCAGGGTCAACGTTATTCTCTCCGGCGGCGGCTTTGGAGAGTCGGTGATAGCAGCGACGATTTTCTCTTTCTCCTATCAGAGTAAAAACAATAAAAAACATGAAAAAAGGCAAAAAAACACCCAAACCCCATGAAACAGGGAGGCAATCCAGGCTCTGACCAGCACCGAGGTAAGCGACAGCTGTGGAGGGCGACCGAGGCTCCTCGACCCTTCCGCATCTCCGCTCGAGCCCCAAGCTCCTTTTTTGTTGCCCCCCCCCCCGCCCAAACAGGGAGAAATTCAAAAAGAAAAAAGCAGAGGGATAATTCAACCCCCAAAGCTCTTTTTTTTTTTTTTCCCCCCTCCTTCTTCTTTGTCAAACTACGCCACCGGGGCTATCGCCGATGACGGTACCGGGGTAACGGCGTTCCCGGGGCGGGGGGCAAATACCGGCGGCGGCAGCGGGGCTCACCTGGAGCAGGGGGTGACCGGGGAAGAGGGAGCCGGTGTGCCCGTCCGGTCCGACCCCCAGCAGCAATAAGTCGAAGACAGGAATGTCCTCACCCGGGAAAACCTAGGGAAAGAACGGGAATGGGAACGGGAGCCCGGGGCGGGTACACGCTTCTCCCCCCCGCCCCCCGCCCCCGGGGTCGGTACCTGACGGAGCTGAGCGGCGTACTCGGCGGCGGCGGCGGCGGGGGGCAGCCCGGGGGGGGCGGTCAGCACCCGCGGCCCGGGGACCGGCAGCCGCGGCAGCAGCTGGGCCTGCGGAGAGCGGGGGGGGGCGGTCAGGACCGGACCGGACCGGACCGGGACACGGGACGGCGGCAGACCTTCCCCCCTCACCGGCCCCGGTTCACCTTGTAGGCCCCGGCGGTGCTGTCCGGGTGCTCGGGGGGAACGAGCCGCTCGTCGCAGAAGGCCCAGAGCCAGCCGGCCGGGGAAACGGCGGCGGAGGCGACGGCGGGGGGCAGGTCCCGGGCGAGGATCTCCACTAAACTCCCTCCCGAAAGACCCAGCGAGAAACGGCGGCCGC